CGTTCAGTATATGCTGTTCCTGTCTCCATTTTACACCCACCACTAAGTGGTTGGACTGCCTCTGAGGCTTCTTTGCACAGTCTACACCTTGGGTTCTGTCTAGTGTAGACCCCTGCTTCTATGGATCTGGGGCTTAGTGCCTGTTGTTGTGCTGTCTTTTAGTCTAGCCCTTTCCAGCCACTCGTAGGATTCCAAATGTGTGTGTGTGTGTGTGTGTGAGAGAGAGAGAGAGAGAGAGAGAGAGATCTTAATGTCTGTGTGGGTGTGGTCCTCAGGTTCAGTTTTCATACATAAACTTGTCTTGTGTTTTCACATTTCTGTAAATGAATGCAGAATTTGTGATTTGGAAATGAAGTGTATGAACTTTACACTGTACAATATTGGGCACTATTTTAGGAAGCTCTGCCTTGGCTTGTTGGAAAGCTTCTGCTTTAGTTTTAACAGAATTAGTTAGGCCTTTATTCTCATAATACAAATCATCTCCTTTAAAAAACAAAAGGTATGTATGTGTGCATGTATATGGGAGGTTAGAGCAGGAAGAAGTCTCCATATGGTGGAAAATAAGCTGATTTGCTTGTGTTGATCTGCTGCTTGATCCAGCTAGATTTGTTGTGTTTAACGTGGGTAACCCAAATCACCAGTCTCTTTTATGTGTTTGTTTAAAGTAAGCCTCTTTGATCATGTTGTTATGAATTTAAAGTATTCCTCATTCTGACAGTAGTTTCTTTCCTTGGGTTGGTTTTGGATAATGGATTAGAAAACATTTTTGTATCAACCTAACACTGGAGTTTTGAGGCTTTATGTGCAAGTGGAGCTTAACATTGTGTGGCCATGAATTCATTGCCACTCTGAATTCATATGCTGTTCCTATCTGTCTTATATTACATCCCATAAGTATGTAATCTATGACCACAGTGTTACTGATACTTTAGGTTATGGTTGCAGTGTGTACTTCAGGAAAGCCATTTCCAGTATCAGTTTCTTACCAGAAAATGGAAATAACTGAGTTTCAAGGGTGTGAAGCACATTGTCAATTAAAAGTGTCATATAGTTGCAGAAAAGATCCATTGGAAGCCCTGCTGAGAAATAGGGTTTTAAAAAAACTTTCATAAAGTAAAAGATATACAGTACATTAACAGAACACTTCAAAGATAAGGTAATACTGAGAATGATGCAAGCAGAGCAGTTCTTGAGCTTAATGATATTGGAATGTTCACTGATTGCTAATCAGTTAAGCCAACAAAGGCCCCTTCTCAAAATGCATTCCAAGTTTTGGCCTGCAAGATCATTGATGTTGGCTAGGTTTATACATTGTGATAACTCATAATGAGGTTTGTTTGGTTTTGGTTTAGTCAGGGTATTGCATAAATTTAGCTATTGTAGTTTGTAATCCATGTTTATGGTTAAGTGTGATGTGAGAACCCAAACAGTTGTAGCTCATTCAACCAACTTTGATTACGTTTAGCCAACAGCCTTGTTGCTGCTGACAGATTAAAATGTACAGGAATGAAAACCTTTTTTCACAAGTTCTGAGGAAGAGAACAGTATTTGCTTAAATAATATAAGAAAACAGTTGCAGACCTTAAAAACTGAATGCAAGAATATGGAGAATTGGAGTCACACTGTTGTATGTGATTTTTCTGAGCTTTCTAAATCTTGATTTAGATACATCTGCCAGAAATTAAGTTACTGACTTAATTAAGGCTGATTTCTGAATAGATGATAGATAATTATATCATAAGCAAAGAAAACCTCATGAAAAGTTTGAATTTTTAAAGCTAGCAATGTGGTTTGGTTTTATTCACTCCTATTACTTGTTTTAAATATTTTAATCTTGATTTTCAATATTTTCATCCTCATAGATAACAGAATAATATAAAAGTTTCGAATGCCTTAATGGAAAAGCTTCCCTTGTAGCCACCAAATTCATCCTAAATGCAGGAGAGCTATTCATCTATTGAACTTTTCAAGAATATGTTTTAATGTAATTTTCTACTTTTCTGCCCTTTTGGGCACATAAAGCATTCACAGTAAAGGTAACCCTGACTCCATGCAGACTCAGTGGCATAAACCAATTATTAAAAAAAACAAAAACAAATCTGCCTGGTGAAAGGCAATCTTTACAAAATTTCAACAGTGGTTCATAGCTTTTAGGAAAAGGAACTGGCCTCCCCAAAGTACCAAGATTAAACTGTCTGATAGTTCTGCTTTTGTTCTTTTGCTTCAACAACCAAAAATTTCAGTAGAAATATTTCCATTTAAACAGTTGTGGTCGAATTGGAAAATAGCTTCAATCTACTTTCTTTGTGCAGGCTGTGTTTTTGAAAAAGATGGGAACAGGAAAGTGAAAGTGGCTAGATATATAGGGCCAAGAAGTTACATTTTTTTCACTTTTTCTAAGTAAAAAAAAAAAGCACAGGAAGAAGGAATTGTTCAAAGCCTAACAGTAGAAGTTTACCAAGCATTGATATGAGTTATTTTTAATGGAAAATACTTTCCCCCTCTTTTCCTGATCTATACAGGAATACTGTATATACATGAGAGGTGTCCAAATAATTTTACATAGCTGAATTGTATGTGTGCATTGCTAGGGATTTTATCCAGGAAGTTTGTGCTATAGCATACTTACACCTTGATTGTCACAACAGTATATCGAACACAGTGAGTGTCTGCTTCCCTCTGGTGGTAGCCAGTCTAAAGTGCAGGAATTTAAAACCCTTTAATATTTCCATTTTAAAGGATTTTTTTTCCACTTAGAAATTCACCAGGTCTTGATGATAAGAGAGGTTTATTCTTAAAATCAGTAGAGTGGCTAGAAACAAGGAACATGTTAGCAAGACTTAGCTTTGCATAAGGTTTTCTTTCATTTTTCTTTTAAACCAAAGATTATATTTCAAGAAATGTTTGGTTGCACCTATGGTACAAAAGTGAGCTTTCTTAATACTTTGTAAATGAGTTTTTATGCAGTTCTCTGAAGAAACAAACCAAACATAGCTCTAGATCAGTTTTCTCAAATAAAAACACAAAAGGACTAGCCTAAGGGCTGCAACCCTGAAGTCCTGCCTCACACAAAGATAAAACTCTCCAACACAGCCAAAATGAAATACCAAACACAAATTCCCAACAGCCAAATCTGTAAACATGGCAGGAACAAGCTACAGCTTTTGTATCATTGAATTTATTTTCTGGTTTCAGGTTCTCAACATTTCTTTCTGAGATTTCCTACATGGACCTTTGCAGTGATCCAACGGGTGGACTTCAAGGCCAGGATGCTGCTAAGGAATTGTAGTGATACCCGTTGCAGAGAGGTGGTTTGCTTTGCAGTAGTTTGCAGAATTATTACACTTCTGCTTCAGGCAAGTCCCCAAATAATTAATAGAAATTAATTATTATAATATAATTACATAATCAGTAATAATATTATTGTAATATTATCTGTCCATCCACAGATAAGGATGTTCTTTAGACTCAGCTTAAAAACTGAGAAAAGAATCTGCGTGTTATAAATTAAGAGGGGCCATAACTAAAGTATTGTACTCCTAAAGTTTCCTAAAATTCCACATTGGACAATCCAGGAAGAGCCATCCTATTAAAAGCTAGTATGGTGTAGTAATTAATGAGTTGGACTAGGAGACCAGGTTCAATTCTATTCTCAGCTGCAGAAGCTCATCTAGTGACTTCAGCCCTCTTTCTCTCATGGGGAAAATTTTGAGGTGGGATATAACTCTAACAAAGGCATAATTATAAAAATCTGCCCACATGCTGCTCCTGCTTCATGAATTCATCTATTTCTAAAAGTCACCAAAGCCAGCAGCCATTACAGCATCATGTTGCAGTGAGTTCCATAATTCACTCATGCACAGGCAAGAAATGTTTCCCTTTGTCCACTTCAGATCTGCTACTCCCAATTTCACCGTTAGACACTGAGTCTTTGTATTCACTAGGCAGGGTAACAAGGCATGCAGAAATGCTCTTGCTGAGCGACTGCCAGCCAGTCGAGATAACCCACATTTCTATAATAACACCATTTTTGAGCAAATCTTGCTGTAAACTGGCCCAGAACTGTATCACTTGATATTTATTTGGAAGCCTGCCCCATGATATTCACTTCTAACGCAGCTGATTCAAGAGAGTTGGCCTCAAGGTAGCAGCTGTTAGAGCCATTTTAAAGGCCAGCCCAAGAAAATTGTAGGGCTTGTGCAACTTCTAATATTGGGAGCTATGTGAAGCACCAATTACTAATGTCGACAGACAGATAGTGGGATTAAGACTGGATTATGGATGGAGAAGTTGCTGGTTCAGATATCACCTCTTCTGAACACCTAAGGGTGGCCTTAGGTAGGTGACAATCCCAGCCTCAAGGACACAACTACAGAACATGGAAAATAATGGTAGCTTGTAAGGAATGCAAGGTGATGTATGTCTGTCCATTTGCTCTTTTTATCTAAGTTTTATTCATCACGTAGATGAGTGTTTCTCAACCTTAGCAATGTTAAGATGTCTGGACTTCAGTTTCCAGAATTTCCCAGCCATCATGCTGGCTGGAGAATTCTGGGAGTTGAAGGCCAGACATCTTAAAGATGCCAAGGTTGAGAAACACTAGTGTAGATCACAGCCCCTCCGAGAGCAGGACAGGAGAGAAGGAGGACAGTAAGGAGTGGTATTACTGGTGAACAAAGAACAAGTTCTGCTATCAATGACTTTACCCAGGCTGTCCTCCTCCTCTGTTTTTCCCCACCAGTAACAGCCAGAAATGCCCCAGAATATAGCTTTTCCATTGTAATTGATCCACATTTTAAACATAACATTTACAGTTATTTTCCAACAGCAGGGAAAGGTAGGGCAGTTTCCAACTGGTTGAATCACGACAAGAATGGTTGAATGTGTGTAATCCAGCTCATTCTGCCTTTGAATTTTTCCTGGAAATATGACTGTCAGGAAACCATCTGGAAGCCATTTTCAGTACTAGTGCTGATCTGTCATATAGCCAAGAAGAACAACTGCTGAAAGTGCCACAGTGTGCTTATGGAGGAGGGCAGAGTTGGCTGGGTGCTGTCTCCTGCAGTAGATTACAAAAATTATAACTTGCTTTTATGTAATGGGTTTTTTTTTTTTATTGCTCACCTTATAAGAAGACATGCGAGAAACTAACTGTGGACCAACCCCTGCCTCCTGCAAGCTGCCCCTATCAAGTGTCCTGATAACAAGCTTGTCATGTGCTCTACCTGAGAATAAGGCATATTGATGTCTGATTTGTACCTGGATGATGTTTGATGGCTATGACTCAAGGGATTAGTTGTGCATAAACCTAGCAGTTGATTTCACAATAAATTTTCCTTACCATGAAAAGTAGGATTTACTACTTATGGTACAAGTACTCATGCTGGAGTGTGAATATTAACACATTCAACTGAAAATTGTCAACTGATGAGCAAGCACATGTAAGCAGTCTATTTTTTCATAAGATATTATCAAGCCAGTTTTAACAGTGTATCCATCAATATACAATAGAAATAAGACTTTGTTTGCGTACCTTCCTTCTTTCAATCAAGTAGAGTCTGGACACAAGGAGATCTAATATATGAAAGTGTAAAATGGCAGCATAACAGTGCTTTTCCAGTATGTGCAATATACATCTCTGTTTATTCCTTTTTATGTCGAACATCTCTGAACTTAAACGGTTTGAAAAGAATATAGGACAGAACTGTGGAATAAGAGAGATCGTTCCATGGCTTCTTTGCTTAGTTGCCATTTTCTGCTCTTTTTTCCCCCCAGGCCCTTTTCAATCTCCTGATTCCCGATCATGCTGCAGATGCCTTCTCTCCTCCCCGCTTGTGTGACCCTGGGTTCTGTGACTGGCTTTTGGAATGGTTCCTGGGAGGCCTTTCCCGTTGGGACGCAGAGCACTTCTTGTTCATAGCCGAACATGGCTACGTGTATGAGCACAACTGTGCCTTCTTCCCCCTCTTTCCCCTGAGCCTAAAAGTGGCAGCAGACGTTGTTCTCTGGCCTTTCCAAGGCTTTCTGTGCCCCCGGAGCCGTCTGCTCCTTTCTGCGGTTCTGCTCAATGCTCTTTTCTCTGCCTTGGCATCTTGGTCTCTCTATGAGCTCAGCTGTGTGGTCCTGCAGTGCCGAAGGAGGGCTTTTCTGTCAGCCATCCTCTTCTGCCTCACTCCAGCTAATATCTTTATGGCAGCTGCTTATTCAGAAAGTATGTTTGCCTTCCTGGTTTTTAGTGCCTTGGGGTGGCTAGAGAAAGGGCGTTGTTGGATTAGCCTCCTTCTCTTTTCATTAGCCACCGGGGTACGTTCCAATGGGCTAATCAATGCAGGATTTCTCATTTATTCTCAGACAAAACTCTTTGCTTTCAAGTTTCAGGCAAGGACAAGAAGTGGAGTAAAGCTGTTGCAGAACATAGGCCAATTTCTAAAACTGTCTGCTTCTTTGGTGCTGATGTCTGCCTCTGTGTTCCTACCTTTTGCTTTGTTTCAGTACTATGCCTACCATAAGTTCTGCAATCCCAATGTTAGCCTTGGATATGCTATACCAAGGCCGCTGTTGCAGTTGGCTGAATTCAAGGGGTATCGTGTAGCAGCTGCAGATGGTGGGAAGCCACCATGGTGCTCCTGGAACTTTCCTGTGCTCTACAGCTATATACAAGATACCTACTGGAATGTTGGCTTCCTCCGATACTTTGAGCTCAAACAGATCCCAAACTTTCTACTAGCCTTCCCTGCTATTTTGTTGGGCTCTTGGGCAGTCTGGTTGTATATCACGGCCAATCCCTGGCACTGTCTAACACTTGGTCTGGTGAGAAGGAAGAGTGCAGGCACACAAGAACATGACTCGCACAAGCCAGCCGAGGGTTTTTACTCTCCTGGTGTATTTGTCTACATGGTCCATGCAGCAACTCTGTTGGTGTTTGGGACCTTTTTCATGCATGTACAGGTGAGTCTTGCAAAATCTTTAATACTTATCAAGTAGTGGGTAATGGTATAACTCCTGAGCAGATATATTTATTTCTACCATGATGTTGTCAGCTCTGACGCTTAATGGCACATGTATTTTTTAGCAGCAAATGAATTCAAGAAGCTATAGCCAATTTCAGCTTTCTGACCAACTGTAGGTTATGTTAGATACTTATTTCATACACATTTTAAGGATTTTATGTATATATGTGAAAACAGAATGTGTAGAATAGGAGGACTTCTGGCATTATCCTGAGATATAGGACATTCAGAGCATCTCTCACAGAAGGGGAAAATGACAGATTCAGTGAGAACGATTCACTGCATGACAGTTGATCAATCACTTTTGATCTTCAATATGCAGCTAGTGTTCCTGCTTACAGTCAGTCAGGACCAATGAAGTCTGCATGATGCATACCACTGAGTTTGCATGATGGAGTGACAAGTTCCTAGAAGGAGCCATGTTAATCTGTTTTGACAAAAAACAACCGATCCATACCATGTTAAATAGTCTAATTTATTGTGGTTTAAACATTTGTTGACCGGAATCCACTTGAGTTTATGCATCTGAGGAAACTGGTTATTTTACTAAAGCTTCTCCCATAATAAATGCATCAGTCTGTTAAGTGTGCTACCTAGCTTCTTGTTTATATGTACAGTTGTCTATTGTAGAACATATCCTATGATCCATTGCAATGTGCAGCTCTAACTCAATTTGGAAAGGGCTATCTGAAGGCAGAAAGTTGGATAGTAGCTCTCCTGGGAGTGGATTTAAGTGATAGACCAATTTTATAAGTAAATAATAGGTAATTTCTGGCTTGTCTGTTACGGTTTTCAGTAATAAGTGACTTCTTAATCATCAGATATTACTCTGCACACTTGTGTTTGGGATAAAACCATCTTCATATTTAATATGTTTATCTTTCTGCTGATACCCCCACGTTATCTGTATGTTTCTCCTTACAGCAGTTACTTTCTTTATTTTCAGAATAACTCAACAAGGCAAATTTTAGCCCATTTTACATGTTTATTGTTGTTTAATTAAGTAGTGTTGGTACATATCAAAGATGAGCAATGTTTTTAGGCTAAGAGTTACAGCCTTGAGGTGACATGCCGAAGTCACATCCCAAAAAGTAGGCAGGGCCTTTTGGCCCCTTCATCACATGATTCTGGCTATATATTTGAACAGTATAATGTACTCAATAGTGTATGGTTGAATATGTTTAGGAGTCTAAAGTTTGCCCCATTGGACCATAATAGTTTTCAGTTGCTCTAATAAGAACTCTTCCTAGTGCTCTTTTGAACCGTTCAAATAACTTTATGTGGATATTTTCAGTAATTCTCAACTCCAGTTTCTCACGGTAGGCTAATATAGGAGATTGGGATGTTGACTTGGAGAATTAATAGCTCAAATCCACCTGATTGAAACAGTTCTAAGCACTGTGAGTAGGGTTAGAAATTGTGGCTAAAATTGGCAAGGCAGTTGGAACAACGGATAAGCACACAGAAATTGTTAAATATAATAGAAATCTTACTACAGCAAAACCTGCCAGCAAATTTTGCCTTTATGTCCGTCTGCTTTATGTTTTTTTTATCTTGTTTATTAAATTTATATGCCACCCATCTCCCCCAGAGGGCGACTCTGGGTGGCTCACAATGAAAATCCAAAACAGTAAAAACAATGAAAATATAAATATCCGTATTAAAATTAGCTAATAACAATGCTATATAAAAAGACTATATACAATTCAAGATGATGGTGGGGAGCAGTATCGATTATCCCACCAGCCAATTCCAACAATGCAACCCCCCATCAGGCCCCCAGGCCATCTGGCATAGCCATGGTTTCACACTTCTCCGGAGGGCCAGGAGAGTGGGGACGACCCGCACCTCAGGTGGTAAACCGTTCCACAGGGCGGGGACCGTGGCAGAAGAGGCCCTCTTCCTAGACCCTGCCAGCCAAAGTACCTTGACTGGTGGGGTCCGCAACATGCCCCTTCTGCTGGACTGAGTGGGGTGGGCTGATATAGCAGGGGTGAGACATTATTAAATATTTTTTATTAAATGTTATTTTATTTTAATATTATTTTATTAAACATTATTAAACATTTGGTAGCTAAAATGAGGGTGCATGTCACAGAATTATTTTGAAAGGACTTAAGCATATGGATATGGATGTAAATCTCTTCCTTTATGTTTCTTTTAATAGGTTCTTACCAGATTTCTGGGTTCTTCTTCTCCAGTCCTTTATTGGTTCTCTGCTCATCTGCTTTATGACAGTGAACCTTTGCTACAGGATGGAGGCTCACCATCCAAACATGGAGAACCTCTTTCAGAGAAGCCTTCATTTCATAATTTCCTTCCTAACTTCAGTAGAAATGAAAACTCTGTGCTGGAGCTTCTGAGCAAGTGGAAGCAGAGCAGGATTCTCACAAAATGTATTTTGGGATATGTACTTTCCTACTGGCTGCTGGGGTTGGTCCTTCACTGTAATTTCTTTCCTTGGACGTAACCAGTTTAAATCTTATTTTAAAATTTTATTGAAGATTATATTAATACAAATAAAACTAATACAATCTACATAATACAAATGTATATATATGTGTATATATATGTGTATATATATGTGTGTGTGTGTGTGTGTGTGTGTATATATCTATATCTATATATACGTTTTTTTTAAAAAAAAAAGTGCAGAAAGACGAAAAAAAGAAAAAGAAGAAACCTCCCCCTCCATCTCCAGCAAGCATAATTAACATTAATAACTTATCACTGCCTCTTAAAATAAAACCAACCATCTCTTCATCCCATATCCTCACCCCATTCTCTATACACCAATCTTTAAGAACCTCATCTCTCCATCTTAATCTGCAAAAGTCTGTTAAGGGTTATCAGAAATAACACTTATTACAAACTATATCTACTAAACCCAATTTGAATCCTTCCTTTTATATCTCACTTTCTATTTAAACATGTCCCCCCAATTTCCTCTCTTCAAATAAGCAAAATCTTTAAAACATCGTCATACAGTCCTAAAAATCCATTAGACATTACCAAAAATAGCATTTTTGCTGATTTTGCCCATTTATATTAACCTTGATCAAATAAATTGATTCTGTATACTTTCTTCTTTCTCCCCACAATTTTTAATTCCATCAAACAAAGTCTTAACGTCTGCCTTCTCATACTCTATCTCTTCTCTCAGAATCGTTGGCATCTTTATCAAGCCCCTTTTGTAATTCCAATAAAAGGTTATCCATGTCACTGTTCATAGTCTCGCTATCTCTTCTCACAAAGTCTTTAACAGCTTCAGCATGGTCTTTTTGTAAATCCGATGTAGAGAAGTTTTCCACATCACTCTTATGGTATATTTGTGTATTTTTTGTGATTATTAAATCATTGTCCAGTTTAATTTGTAAATCCATTATTTCCTTCTTTTTCTTATCAGTTATCATTTTTAAATCTACATTCAAATCAATCTCAGTTTTATTTGAGAGAATTTGTTCCTCTTTGATTACATCTTCCAGTTCTAAAAGAGAGAACTTTATGTCTTTGGCCATTCATCGTAAATCTCCCTTAAAATGGCTATTGATACATTTATTTCCTTCTAGTGCCCTCTAGTGTCCACCCTTCAAAGTCATCAGTTGTTTCCAAGTATAAATATAGACATTTCCCATGGAAAGGATTCTTTTAATTAATTTCAAAGTCCTCCTTTAATTCAAGTCTATCTGAAACCTGGGAAACATCTGAATTCAGATCTTGGCATTGTAACAGAAATTCCTAGTGAATATACACATTGGAGACAATATCACCTGTTTACAAGCCCATTTTAATTAGCCCAAAGAGGGATTTCATTGTCCCCAGCCTTGATAATCTAAGAGCAGCATTAACAATCTAAGAACAAGCAATTATCTAAGAACAAGCGTAATATAGCAGGCTTTCAAGTGGCACAGCTGGCAGATAGTTTGGACTTTGTCATTCTTAATGGCACTGCCAGAGGAGATTTCACTGGGCTTTCTGGAACTCCAGTGGGATCACTGTGATAAATTATATCCTGGTTTCACATATCTTTGTTCACTTCATGACTCACCTTTGTGTTGGAGATCATCTTAATAGCAATAACTTCCCTTTAATTTGTTTTCTTAATCCTAAATACTAAATTATTAGAAAAAGCCCATTGTCCTCTCAGCCCCACAAAAAAGGGCATGTTGAAAATAAATGGTCCTCCACAGTAGCAAAAGACCTGCTGGATCTCTTGAATTCAGATTCCCTCCTTCAACTTTGCTTTCACATTTACTGGGCTGACTCCCCCAAGTAGGTATTAACATATTATCAATCCATTATCCTTTTTCTTTAGGGTTCTCTGTCAAGATATGCACAGACTGCCATAATATCACTCATATTAGATTGAAATCCTGTTTCAATGCCAATTGTGTCAAAGCAAGAAAGGCCCTGCTCATGGAATTTAATGTCTTTCATGTTAATTCCCCTGACACTTTTCATACTCTTTTAGAGCAGAAGAGTTAAAGCCCTCTAAAATTAAAACAAAGGAAAGCTTGAGTGAGGAGTGGGGGAGTTTAACTGGAGTTGCTAAACTCAAGAATCCTTCCTGGTTTTGGCACTTACTGTTCCCTTAAAGATAGTGTTTGGGTCCATTTTTTCAAATTAATCTGCATTGCTTCCAGGGTATTTTCCCACCTGAAACAGTTAATAATCCAGTTGTGACCTACTCTTGAAATGGTTTTCCCAACTGACCTCCCATGTCTGTATCTCAGGTCAAGGACCTTATTTCACAAAATCTGGAAAAATCCCAGGAATTTTATTCCCCTGGAATTAAGGGAAAACAAGGATTGGTGGCCTTCAGTGTTGGCTGTTGTATTTACCCGTATTAATGGCTCAGTGTGTGCGTCTTTTCACTGGGGTTATACCATTGTTATTCCATTTACAAAAACAAAAGAAATAGATTAGACTTGACGAGTTATAGACCTATCAGGCTACTAAATATAATCAGCAAGCTATAAGCTTATATTTCTATTTAAAGCTATAGGACTGGATTGAAAGCGAAAACGTGGCTTGCTAAGGAGCAGGCAGGTTTACAAGGGGACTGATCAGCATTGTTTGGTTCATCACATTTAGCAAAGAAATATTCTTCCTGGACCAGAGGTTCCTATTTTGTAGCCTTTGTGGATTTTAAATCTTTTTATTTACTTCCAAGGAAAAGACTGGGAAAAACTAGTGGGGCCCTCAATAGATAAAAGGCTGATTCTGCTCATTCAGTCCTTCTGGGGACATTTCTCTAGACCTGGGACTATGGAGAGAGGTATGGGGCAGGGCTGTATTCTAGCCCCTTTTCAGTTAACTGGCACATCAATAATCCAGGCCCTTTCTTTCCCTTCTCATTACTCCCCTGTATTAGCAAGCTGAGTAGTCCCAGCTGTTCTGTATTGCAGACAATGACTTGTTCATTTCTGTCCCCCAAGTGGAAATGAGAGGGATGTTGAGGGCTTCAGTCTCTTTTTGTTCAGAGAAAAAATAATTTATCAGAAAACTAGTCCTAGTTTTTGCATGAATCTTATGATAATTGACAAACTAGCAGCAATGCTATTAAGCAGGTACATGCTTATAAATACCTTGGTGTTCTGTTCCAGGCCTTATTTTCCTGGAAAGAAACATTTATATATGTGGCAAGGGTTGCTGTGTGTAGCTCCTCAGCTACCCTGAGATTTTTCCATTTGAAAGGACCCCATTCTATCCATGCTGCTTGTAAGCTCTTCATAGCCAATGTAACTCCCAGCTACTATATGGTGTCCAAATCTGCATTTTTAGAAACGTTGACATCCTTGACTCTATTTGGTTTAAGTTCCCCAGAGCATGTTTAAAGTTGGGTTTAGTCTCCCTGGAGACTAGAACTTGGTATCATCTTTTTAACCTTTGGCTACAGTTATTTTTTTCCCTTGTGGGTCTAGCTCCATTGGTTCTTAGAGATTACTTTAAGTCAACTGGGATCCCTAGGACTCTTCTTGCCATAGCCAACTAGGCTTTGGGGCATAGATTTTCACATCAACCTAAATCTGGTTCCAAGCTTTGCAGCACAGAACTTTTCAATTTGGTATGTTTCAACCCTCTACCTTTCCTCTGTCACAGCTTTGAAATGTTATCACTTTACTCTTGAGTGCCCTGGAGATAGTCATAATTTGTGCTTTTGTCCAGAACAGACCGTGATGTGAAAGCCACACTTTTTTTTAGAGCAGAGCAGACATCACCTGGATATGTTTTGACACCATAGTCAAAATCAATATCAAGCTCAGTGTGTTGTACATGAAGTTGCATTTGAAAGCTATCTATACATCTCAGCCAGTCTGAAAAAATAGCTAATGCTTTAAGCACATCTTGTCATTGAGCACATGAAACTTTTGCAGGAGGTTGTGGACAGCTTCTGAACCCACGTCAAGGTACTGCATATTAACTTTACATACCTAAAGAATTTGAGGCTGTATTCTCTGTGAGGCTGCCTGCTCACTAAAATCAAGTCCAGGGGGTCTCTTTTCCATCCTGCCAATATTGAGGTGTGCACAGTAGAAATCTAGGAAATAGCATTTTATGTAGCCTTGCTATGGAACTCCACATCAAGAGTGGTTGACTTCACTTCTTTCAGTGATTTTCCCACTATCTTGTGAAGAAGTGACAATCTCTTTTTTCCAGCAAATATTTGATCTGCTGGGCTGAATGTTTTATGAACTCTATGGAGAATCAGATTCTGAAATACAATTTATTATGTATATTGATTATCATTTCTTTATTACATTATTTATACTGTTTTAATGTTTAGCCAAAACTGTCTTGAATACTCTTAAATAAAAAGATGGGGTAATTTAGTATTTCAGTATACATGAAAATGAACCACAGTTGGATTTGGGGCATGGGTAATCACTGCAGTTGCTGCTTTTATGTATCAGCAACATCGTAAAACTATATACAAACAGCATTATCTTGTTTAAACTTTTTTCAAAAACAAAAATGGAAAATACAGAATTACAGAAGCATAGAACTGGAAGAGGACATAAACTAAATGTCCTCTTCCAATTTTATGCTTCTGTAATTCTGTATTTTCCATTTCTGTCCTACTCGCTTCAGAGTTTAAATTAAAGCATTCCTGACAGATCGTTATCTAACCTCTGCTTTTTTTCTTTAAACTGCAAAGTGATGACTTTAACAAACACGAAGCTTGTTTCCAATACTTCCCTACATTATAATGTGATAACTCAAAATGCATTCATGCTGGAAATGGTTGGAGCAGTGTTTAAACGGCCTGAATACCAACTGATAAATTACACGGCATATGAACACAAAATACACTGAAATTCCAGAGCAGCACATTACAGGCTGTGCTTTTTGCCAAATCCTGGAGTTTATGCACAGTGTACCTTGTTCTGTGAAACAGGCACTGAAATAATATATAAGATATATGCCCCATCATTGTGTACTCTC